GTCGTTCGAGAAACTTTGGAGAATTAAAGTCTAGACTCAGGGGAGTTTAGCTCAGGGTTAGGTTATCCTGATTAAATCTAGGCTCAGGAGAGTTTAGTTAAGGGTAGAGATTTATCCTTAAGGTTTCACGTTATAGAAGGGAGCGGTAAATCAAGAGGGTTGGGCTTGTTTTACGCGTTTGCGAATTGGTTGTAATTTGCTTTCTTGTTCTAGTGAAATCGAATCTGGACTTGGTCCCGGGGAGTAGGAAAAACCGAACCTCGTTAACAAATTTCTTGTCTCGTTTACTTTCTGCAATTTATCTTACCTCATCCGCACTTACAGATCTATTGATTGAAAAGCTCGAATTTGGGGTTTTTCAGAAAAGAGAGACCGACGTTCGTCATTCAATTTCTGCAATATGTTACCAACTGCTAAATTCAAGACCTTGTCCAATACCAATCAAATGGAAATGTAAATCTCCCAATTACCTTTGAATATATGTTATATAATTAACAAAAACTATGTCCCTGCATAGCAGGGGCCATAATGCTAGTTAATAATATAAATTGAAAGTAAGTAAGTAGTTTTCTTTCCATTTACTCACATTTCAAAATTATAAATAGATAAGGGAAAAAAACTTCAAGCATCTGTTAAACAATAGTTTTAATTTTCTTCTAAAATCTTCTCGGGTTTCGGCTTTATGTTGCGTTCATCGTAAAACCATCTTTTTGATGAATAAATTTTACTTTCATACAAAAAAACAATAGTTTGGTGGAGCTTTGACAATAAGTTTTCTCTTTTTTATTTTTACCCTTGAAAGTAAATCTAATCATTATAATTATTTACCATATATATATTTGGCACCATTTGCTAGCGGAATTTGCTATCAATTGATAAAAGAAGAAGAAATCAAATGCAAATTGCATACTAGGATAAAAATCTGTCACAATTGATGATAGTTTTTTTTTTGGTAATAATGTGAAGAATTATACCATTTTCGCAAATTTTTGACCGAAGTTAGAGAGGAATACAAGTAGCAATTAACAACTAGAAAGCAAAGCAAAAACTCCACTACTAGTGTCTAGGGAAGAAACACCGACATGATAGTTAATAAGATCATAACAAGTATAAACAAATGCAGAAAAGAAGAAGTAATCAAATGCAAAGATAAAAAAAAATAGGTTTATTTGGATGTTGCTAATAATAACTGAGTAACAACCAATGGCGGGAACAAACGGTTGGAAACTGCCACGAGGAAAAAGGCGGTTCAAGAAAAATACATGAACGCCGATTCTGGGCAGATGCAAAAAAAATACAAAACAAAACAAAAAACACAGCTTCTGAAAAAGAAGACAGAGAGACTTCTCAACATATTCTCTTCTCTCTGCAACTGCAATTATGACTGTACATTGAGAAACAAAAAGTTTCATGGATCAACAAAAATAGTTACAGAGGATTTGCTTTGTAGAAGAAACCGATGTCTGGATTGAATCATCTTGGTGTCTCAAGTATTTGAAGCAAGATAATTATTGTTGTGAACCATCACCACCAGTTGAGAGTTTTGTGTAATCAATTGCAGAGTCACCTGAGAATTGTAATGACATTAAAGCACAGAAGTTTTAAACCGATATTTTCGGTAATGGTTTAACCCGAGGTGAGGACTCGGGAGGACAAATTTAAATGCTAATAACAAAGGCTTACTTCGGGTAGAGTCAGTTGATGAGCGTGGTGGCGAAATGCCTCCTTTGATATCTGCATTAATGTTTACAAGAAACTATGAGAAAAGTAGGCTAAATGCCGTAATCCGCAAAAGAAATGAAAAAAAAAGCAGTTTTTGCACCTAAAGAATGGCGAGAACCACGGACCGCGTCAAAGTTTCTGTATGTATAGCCCACAAAATTGATATTTTGAGGGGTTATGCTCACCTACGGGCAAAATCAAAGTTCCAGTAGATCGATAAGTACAAAGCAAGACCCTCGGAATAAGTGAAACGTTATAAGATTTTCCTGATAATTATGGTACCTTCCACGACGGTCCAGATCCTGTTCTTGCTGGTCTTGGACACTCCACCTAAGGAAAGAATCAGAATATGATACCACTGAAAAAGAGGATATGAACTTTTTAATCCTTGAGATGGCGGACTTTTACCTCATCGAATTTCATAAAATTCTGGGTATCAAGTTCTCCATTGACCACTGGCTTAAAAGCTGCATCCATCTCATAGAGTTTTTCCCATTCCACATCTTTGAACCAAGGATGAGCCTAGATGTGTTTTGTTTTGTCAAAATGAATATAATAGACAAAAAGAAGAGTGAACAGTCTTTATTATTATATTTTACATACTTTGATTTGCTCGGCTCCGGCTCCATGAGAACCAAGCCTATGCTCAGAATCACAAAGCAACCTACAAATGAGATCTCTTGCCTCAGGTGTCAACCTTGCATCCTCGGGGAATACTAAATGAGTTCTCCAGCTCACAATCTAAATTCCATCAAATGTCAATTTTACGATAGAGATATAAAAGAAGATGTGAAAGATCCTAAGAGAAACAGAGCCAACATAATAAGCTTCCACCATCTTAAACTCTCATTTTAGTATCAACAAGAAATTCAAAATAATATAAGAGCAAAGTGGAAACTACTGTAAATTTAGTTACAAATAGACCTTTCTACATGTTGTTACGGGGTCATCGGAGTAAAATGGTGGATAACCGACAAGCATCTCATACATAATGGCCCCCAAAGACCACCTGCAGTCAAATGAATGCATACGAGTCGATGAAAGAAAATAGATATGTGTTGATCAACTAGTAGATAAGCAGCAAGAAAAGATGAAAAGCTGATCATGAATAACCCTATTGATATAGTAAGGAAGGGTTCTATGGAGAATAATCTATAAGATAATTTAGGTGACCCACCAGTCACACTCTACACCGTATCCCTTCTTCAGCAACACCTCAGGTGCAATATAATCGGGGGTACCTACCGTAGAATATGCCTGTTTCAAAACAAGAGCACACAAAAGCCAAAGGATTTAGACATAAACCCAAAGGAGCATGTTTTAAGCATACCCCAATTGAGATATGAATAAAAGAGTGATATCATAAAAAAAAAGTTTAAAACAGAGTTTTGTACTATACCAGTTTTCTTCGGTTTATCTGCCAATGCTGCAGCTGTTCCAATGGGCTCTTCCAACGCCTTCCACGACGTCCTATCGAGCAGTTCTCATCACCATCGATTGATTCATTTATATTCTCATCATTCAAAGGTTCATTTACGTTCATAGCCGAAATATTTCTACAATCGAGAGGCTTACAAAGACCAAAATCCGACAGCTTCATATGACCATTCTTGTCCAACAGAAGATTGTCTGGTTTAATATCCCTGCAAAAGATCTACCTCAAATATATATAAAATTTAATTCTCCATTCGACATGATGTGACAAACAAGTAGTAAAACCTGTGAACATAATTATGCTCATGTATCGACTCAATAGCCAAAACACTTTGGGCAATGTAAAACCGAGCCACCGTTTCAGTCAAAGTCTCTTCCCTCATAAGCAAAGTCATCACATCACCACCAGACAGATACTCCATGATAAGGTACAAATATTCTGGATCTTGGAACGAATAATAAAGCTTCACAATACAGTCACTAGCAACTTCTGCTAGCAAGTTCCTCTCAGCTCTCACATGTTCAACCTATTAAGAACGATCAACCAAAAGGGTATCCTAGACTTAAATCCCGAAATTTTATGCATAAATATAACAAAAATGAAATAATTGTAAGACTCACTTGCCCCCTACTAAGCATTTCAGACTTCTTTAGCTTCTTCATGGCATAAATGTTGCCAGTCTTTTTCTCACGGCAGAGTCTTACCTAAGAAAGATACCATATTTACAAATAGTTGAAGTGGCGTTCCTTGTTCGCGTTCTAATAACAGCAAATGTTCATAATTGGTAATACCCAAAAAGACTAACCTCACCAAAAGCCCCTCTACCGATAATACTCAGAAGATCAAAATCATCAACGCAAAGCCTGTTCCTCATTAATCTAGTATACTCTGTCTCTTTCCTCTGCAAATCCTCCAGCAACTCGAGTTGTTCTTTTTCTGATACATCTAAAGATGCAATCTTTTGCTCTAGCACCAAACGCCTGCAAATCAAAAGAACCCAATTTCCATTAATACTCTGGAGAAAACATCTTTGGATCAAAGACCTCTCATTGTTTAACAAAAAAACATTACAGCTCCCTAATAACAACACCATTCAGATAACAACACATTTGATTCTTCTTTTAGGAATATAAACAAACAGATGATGTGCAAACAAATTCCACAAAAATGGTACCTTTCTTTACGTTGTTGAATATGTCTCATGCGTCTATTGTAATGGTTTTCAATATACTTCTTCGCTGCAGCAACTTTCTCCAATGTCGAATTTGAAACCAACCCTTCATCCTCAAAACTATCCTCAGCCTCCGACGTCACCTTCGCCACCACCACCTCCTCGTCCTCTTGATTCTCCATTTTTTTGTTCTCTCCCAAGAAAAAAAAAAACAATTCCTTTGCTTTTCTTTAAACTCAGAGAATCTCTCGCACTTCTCTTCCCTCGGTCAATTGTGAGAATAATATGATTGCGAGAACGAAAACAAGTCTCTTCTTCTCCATCTATCAATGGCAATTTACAAGTTTGGATTTTGTAATTCAGAAAAGAAAAAAAGAATCAGGAATTATTACCTGGAAATTTTTGGTTTTACTATTTTTGCTATATTCAGGAAAAAAAAGAAAGATTAAACAAATCTACAAATCTAAACCCGACACGTATAGTAGATTGAATGAAATTTAACTTAAAAAAAACTTAAATTTGCAGATCTATTATAAATTGTATTTACATTTTATAAATAATACAATCAGCTATATTTAATATAAAATAACTTTAAAATTTGTAAAACATCTTACAGAAACCAAATATAATATTCAGCAAACTAAAGATTACCAAAAAAAATATTCAGCAAACTAAAATTTTCATTTTTATGGGTTTACAAACATAATCCAACCCACAAAACTCTTTTTTTGGTCTATCACAATTTACAAACCATAAATTAACATGCATATATAACTAAATATAATGCAACTTCAAATAAAAAAATTTACAAAAAATCTCTAGTGAGAAATATTAGCCAGTTATATTAACTATATCATTAGAAAACCGGACTCTTGATTTCCAATCGCGAATCGCAGACCGGAGTGTATGGTTCGGTGTGAGCTTGAAATGGTCGAGCTTTTGTCGAGTCACTGGTGAAATGTTGTGTTTCTCAAGCCACGCTAAGATCGCTTTCCTCTCGTACGTGAATCCATCAGCAGCAATCTCTGGCTCCTCCATTATCTCCTATATCAATAATATATTTCACAAATCAAAAAACGGTTATTAAAATTGTGTACCGAACCAGTTGACCTTTTTTACTCACCCGTAATATTGGACAGAAGTAATGACTTGGTGCACGTAAATTGCTTCCTTCTTTCTTTATTTTCGAATTTGCCGTCTCCACAAGCCGTTTCAAAACCGGTATAACCTCTGATTTAAGATCCGGTCTATCCCGGCATCGAAATTCTGCACATTTTAAACCGATCCGAGCCAATTCTTCGGTTTCTGCCAAAGGCCAATCGGTAACCGATTTATCTAGCATTTCGGTTAACGTCCCTTTCTTTACCGCATTTTCGACCGCTGGTACAAGTCCGCTCGGTTGACGAGCCGTCACCAGCTGAAGAATAATTATGCCGAACGCGTAAAGATCCGATTTTGGTCTAATTGTTCCGGTTCGATGGTATTCCGGATCAATATAATGCAATGTACCGGCAAGAACCGAGTTTTTGTACATTGTGACATTATCCGGTGCAACATCCGTAACCAGCTTGGCTAATCCAACGTCAGCAATTTTGCTCACGTAGTTCCGGTTTAACAAGATGTTTCCCGGTTTGAGATCACGGTGAACAATTGGTTCCGGTTTAGAGCTGTGTAAGAAGGCTAAACCGCAAGCCACCTCGAAAATTACCCTAAACCGGATAAACCAAGGCAAAGGCGGTTTATTTTTCCGGTGAAATATATATTCCTCGAGGCTTCCATTTTCCAAGTACTCGTAAACCAAACAACCATTCTCCGGACAAGCTCCGAGGAGAAGAACCACGTGTGGGTGTCGGAGTTGGCTTAGAACCTCCACCTATAGAGTAATAATAACAAACCGGAAATAAATCAACCGGATCAAATCAAAAGAGTTAACCGAAACCAGATATAATTTAACCGATACCTCTTGCAAGAACTCTTGTTTTTTCTCCGGCGTATCTAGCCGGACGACCTTAACAGCCGCCGGAGTACTATCAAGGCTACATTGGTAAACTTTTCCGTATCCTCCTTCTCCAATCACTTTCTCTGGCGAGAATCCTTCTGTGGCTGTTACAATATCCTCGATTGTGTATTTTCTATACCGGTGATCAGTTCCTAAAAGCTGATCGATCACTTTCTTCTTCTCCAAGTAAGTCCTTAAAGCATTCACTTCCGCTATTTGTCGCTGACAAAACTCTCTTGCGAGCAATGCTTTTGCGGTTTCTACCTCTTTCACCGCCTTCATGTACCGCTCTTTCTCCAGCGCCGCGGTTTTCCTCTCCAACTCTTCTTTCTCCACGGCATTGTTCACTCTTTTAGCTTCGTTCGAACATTCAGTCGAAAGCATTTGAACCTAGTAGAAACCGCAAAATAAATACTTTACTTAGAGAAAAAGCAAGCAAAATGATTCACCATTGAGTTTGGAAAACTATTTATACAAAAGCAAGAAAATCATATATAAAATAAACACTTCTTTCACACTTAGGTTTTGATGGCCATCACAAAAATACACATTTTTTTCCCAATTATCTCTAATCATTTTCTTGCGGAAACTATTTAGGGTTCAAAAGATCAGAAATATGTACCTTGTTTTGTGTGGAGAAAAGCTCTTCACAAGCTTGTTTATACTTAGTGACTGTACTTTGTAGCTCCTTCTTCAAACGTTCCACCTCTGCTATAATCTCAACCTGTCAAAGTACACCAAAACTTTCAAAAACCTCGGTTACGTCTAACTAGCTAGTCTCATCATTGCACCAAAAGATGATAGTAAAGTAACCTTCTTGGATTTGCTTGATGTTCCCGGGGGTGAACGATCAGAGTCTATCTGCTCGCTAACGATGATCTCAAGATTCGATGGGGGTTCGGTGTATGTTTGAACAAAATCTGAGTAATTTAGCTGCGGAATATCGGATCCGCCATGCCGCCTAACAATCTCTGGAATTGTTGCACTAGAAGCCTTACTACTTTGAGGCGTTTTGGGTTTATTACAAGTGAGGCTTAATGCCTCAAATCTCAGCTCTCTTGCCGATGCTGACCTCCTCGTGCCTGCCTCTTCAACACCCAAAAGAAAGAAAGAAAGAAAAAAACCCTCAGGCCTTCATGGAGATCATTTTTTTTTTGTTATAATGGTTAATCACGGCTTTCATAGACATCTTCGTTTATAATATGAATCTCTTATCGATAGATGCATGTTTGTTGCAAATTTCTTCATAAAATAAATTTATGGTTATAAGAGTTATAAGATTATGCAACTGCTTATTGTGTTAACCAAGATTATGCAACTAGTTGTTGATAAATTATTAACATATGAGATATAGTATATAGCATAAGTTTCCTTTTGCTTATCTTATGTATTAATCTCAAAGTCTATATATAGACTAATTGTACATACATTTGGTTTTAATGAGAATTTCAGTTTAATTCAATATGTTAACATGGTATCAGAGCCTAACACCAATCCGGCATGATTAGTATTGTACACAATCTCTACATTTCACAACTTGAACATCCATCATCTACATCATACTTCTCTGGATCCTTGATGGTTGATGGTGATCTTTGGCACAGGCGCCTTGGACATCCATCATCTGACAAGTTAAAGCATATTCCGGGTATATTGTCTAAAACTAGTTTTTTAAATTCTCCTTGTAGTGTCTGTCCTTTAGCTAAACAAAAACGTTTGTCATTTGAGTCTAATAATAGATTGTCAGCTTTACCATTTGATTTAGTTCATATGGATGTCTGGGGTCCGTTTTCAATCGAGTCTGTTAAAGGATATAAGTACTTTTTCACTTTAGTAGATGATTGTACTCGTGTTACATGGATATATCTTATGAGAAATAAAACTGAAGTTACTGGTCATTTTAAAGCTTTTATTCAGCATGTTTCTACTCAATACAACAATATCATAAAAGCTATTAGAACTGATAATGCTCCTGAACTTGCATTTACTGAGATTGTTAAAAATCATGGTATGCTTCATCAATTCTCTTGTGCATATACACCACAACAAAATTCTGTTGTTGAAAGAAAGCATCAACACTTATTGAATGTTGCAAGGGCTTTACTGTTTCAGTCTAATGTTCCTTTAGCTTATTGGAGTGACTGCATCTTGACTTCTGTTTTTCTGATCAATAGGACACCATCTCTGTTATTAGAAAATAAATCACCATATGAAATGTTAACAAAGAAGCAACCTGATTACTCTTTTATTCGCACTTTTGGATGTCTGTGTTATGTTTCTACTCTTCAAAAGGATAGACATAAGTTTAGTGCTAGAGCTGATAAATGTGTGTTTTTAGGCTTTGCTTCTGGTTACAACGGCTATAAAGTGTTGCATTTAGAAAATAACATCATCTCTGTATCGAGAAATGTGATTTTCCATGAAAATATATTTCCATTCCATGACATCACAGTTTCAAATCCACCAGATATTTTCAATAAAAACATTTTACCTTTACCAGTTCCTGTTATTCTTGATTCTTTTATTGATTCATCACATAACATTTCTACTCCACTTCATACTATACCATCTCATGCATCATCTTCATCACATTCTACACCTAGTGTCCCATCTACATCACAAGAGATTGTTACAACAGAAAGTGCTACTGTTTCATTGCCCAATGCTAGGCCAAAACGATCTGCAAAGGTACCCACTTATCTATCTGATTACCACTGTTCTTTCACCAAAATTTCTGAACCATCTACACAAATTTCTCCACCAGCCACTTCCATCACTTCTTCAAAAGTCTGTACCACTCCTTACCCTTTATCAAAATATCTCTCTTACTCCCTTTTCAATGAACCATATCAGTCTATAGTACTTTCATATTCTCTTGAAACAGAACCTACCACTTTTAAACAAGCTATATCATCACTGCAATGGACTAAAGCTATGGATGTGGAACTTGAGGCTATGGAATTGAATAAAACATGGAGTGTTGTAGAACTACCACAAGGGAAAAATGTTGTTGGTTGCAAATGGGTCTATACTATAAAGTATAAGGCTGATGGTACTATAGAAAGATATAAGGCCAGATTGGTTGCTAAAGGGTTTACTCAACAGGAAGGAATAGATTATTTTGAAACTTTTTCTCCTGTGGCTAAACTTGCAAGTATAAAGCTAATTCTGGGTCTTGCAGCTAACAAGGGTTGGAGCTTAACCCAAATGGATGTTACCAATGCTTTTTTGCATAGTGAATTGGAAGAGGAGATATATATGAGCTTACCACAGGGATATACTCCAAGCTCAGGAACTTTGCCACTTAATGCAGTGTGCAAACTACATAAGTCCATTTATGGATTAAAACAAGCAAGTCGGCAATGGTATAAATGCTTCTCGACAGTTCTTTTATCTGATGGTTTCATCCAGTCTCCTGTGGATAACACGATGTTTGTTAAAGTCAAAGGTATGACTTTCATTGCTCTACTGGTGTATGTAGACGATATTCTTATTGCTAGCAATAATGAAGCTGCAGTAAGTGATTTGAAAAGAGTATTAGCTCAGCAGTTTAAGACTAAGGATCTTGGACCAGTCAAGTTTTTCTTAGGTCTTGAAGTTGCTAGAAACTCAGATGGTATTTCAGTTTCCCAGAGAAAGTATTGCTTGGATCTGCTAAAAGATGCAGGTTATGTTGAGTGCAAACCAAGGTCTGTTCCTATGGATCCTAAAGTCAATCTTACTAAGGAGACGGGTGTTCTCTTACAAGATGGAAGACCTTACAGAGAACTAGTGGGGAGACTGCTTTATCTTACTCTAACCAGACCAGATATCACATTTGCTGTCAACCGGTTGAGTCAGTTTCTCTCTTGTCCTACAGATGCACATCTCCAAGCAGTGTACAATGTGCTCAAGTATCTTAAAGCAAATCCGGGCCAAGGTTTGTTCTACTCTGTTAATACAGAACTTTGTCTCAATGGATTTTCAGATGCTGATTGGGGTACGTGCTTAGACACAAGAAGATCTGTTACCGGTATATGTGTGTTCTTAGGAACTTCTTTGATCTCTTGGAAATCAAAGAAACAACAGGTTGCAAGCAGTAGTAGCACTGAAGCTGAATACAGAGCCATGGCCATGGCTTTTGATGAAATGGTATGGCTTAATCAATTGTTAAAGAGTCTCCATATCTCTGTGACTTCTCAGGCTAAGCTCTTCACTGATAACAAGTCAGCAATGCACATTGCTAATAATCCGGTATTTCACGAGAGAATAAAACATATGGAGATAGATTGCCATAGAACCAGAGATCGGATCAAAGAGGGTTTACTAAAAGTTTTTCATGTTACAACCAATAATCAGTTGGCAGATATCTTGACAAAGCCTCTTCATCCAGGGCCTTTTCATTCTGTACTTGGCCGTATGTCAGTTTCAAGTCTCTTCACTTCACAAGAGGATTCTGTTTTAGAGACTTGAGGGGGGCTATTAACATATGAGATATAGTATATAGCATAAGTTTCCTTTTGCTTATCTTATGTATTAATCTCAAAAGTCTATATATAGACTAATTGTACATACATTTGGTTTTAATGAGAATTTCAGTTTAATTCAATATGTTAACATAAATTTTCTCAAAACTTAGGTTTAAGTCAAAAATTTAACCTTCAAAATTATTAACTTTTGTTCGTTTCAAGAATGTACACAATTGAAAATTTACTATATATTAAAACAACCTAAAACCGCAATTTCGTAGGATTATGTAAAATTTACCAGTGGACTGTCGAGGCTCGGATAATGATGGAGACCGTAGAGTCTGGAAACTAGCCGCCCAGTCTCTCAAGAAGTCATGGGTAGTCGCGGCTGCGTATGGACTTGTGCACGGCTCTGATTATTAGATGGTTAACACGATTAAAGAAAAGTTTAATGAAGAAATGAAAAGTAATTGTGTTTTGAATAAAACTGTATAGTCCGTCTAAAATTATGAAGATTAAGAAATTACATCAAATATACATTTAGTATTACAAAAAAAGAAAATCCTAATTTTTACCTCTGTTGATTAATGGATCCATAGATTTTGTAGTGATTCTGTCTTTACACACAATGTATACTTCACATGTTTCTGGTGCGTATTTTAAGACAGTCAATGGTACTCCTGGACCTCTTGCTCTCCTAAACCAAAAAATAAATGGCCTGTTAGTGTATATAACCGAGTTGATTAAGAAAAACGTAAACCAAACCGGTTATGTAAATTTACCGTGTGAATATATTTGATGAAAATGATCCCATAACCAAACTGTTAACTCCTGATTTAGATATGAATCTGAGAAGTGCTTTAGCAGGATCGTCGTACTCTAGCAACAGAGTCTCTACCTGACACTGAAGGATACAATAATTGAAGGAAATTACAGTTTGACCCTAAAACTTCTCTAGATTTATATTTATAAACAGAAGACAAAACTAAACCAACCTTGGTACTACTACTACTCTTGCATATTTTCAAGAAGGGAACGAAGACTGTTTCAAATTCTTTTTTCACGTCTCTTACATACATTTCCACCACACTCTCCTCCACTTCTTCCACCGGCAATCTCTCTCCGTCTACAACAACGGACATTCTCGTAAACATTTATCTCAAAAACTATCGTTAACTAGTCCATTCGCGACCAAACTACATTCATATATTTGATACCTAAATTTTACTTATTAATATTTGAAATTAATGATCTTTTTGACCTCAAAAACAAACTAGGAAAAAATAAATAATTAATCATCTAACTATAATACGAATTTATTTTTGATTTTCCCTACCTGTTTTATTTGGTGTGAAGGAAACAAAAAAAAGTTCTGCCTATCTCCTTCTGTCTTTTGCCTACATTAAATTTGTTGTCGATTCATTGCCAAGATTATCTAGAATTTTTTATCAAAGAGATTACGGAAAAAGTTAATAACTAATTAATTCTAATAAAATATAATTCTTATTATTTCACGTTTGTAAATCTGTTTAAGTAACGTTTTTTTCCTTATTTTATCCATTTCTTGTGTCTACTCATGGTTATGTTTGATTTTCATTAGTTTGAACAAAACAAAAACAAGAAAAATGTAAAATTATGTTTTGGATTAGATAATTTGGCACGAAATATTTGTACCGAACCGCTTCATATCACATATGTAAACAACATTCTTTAGAAATGACTCTTTTGAACTCTAAGTAATTTCGGAGGATAAAAGAAAGAAAAAAGATTGAGAGAGACTTACTGGGGGTAGGAATAGAAGTAATGGTGGGGATGACGTGGATCATCACAAACCTATCAGCCTTAGGTAAAAGATTATCGACGGCCCACCGTACGGCACGGCGGCTTCCTGCGCCGCCTAATTTGTCTCCGATCAAACCCTTCACGGCCACCGCCACAAACAACTGGCCGTCTTCTGCCTTTGGACCACCACCACCACTCATTTCTTGCGTCAACATCACCACCATCTAATCAATTTTACTTACGTATACCACAAGTAACAAAAAAAGAAAAAATACTGATAGAATTTTGTTTCTGAAATTCGGTGGGCAAATGTAATCGCAGAGATGCTTATCTCTCTGACCACGACTATATTGTTTTGATCTCTTTATATATGAGTCGTTTAGGATCAAGTGTTAAGAAAATGTAAAAAATATATTTGATTAGTAGCCGGACAATGATTAGTCTTTGGGTCTATCTTTTGCTCTGGTTTGTTTTAATCAATAATTAAAGTCCTAATATATGTTTTAAACTAAACTTGAACAACCAAAAAATATGACTATATACGGGCTCTGAGTTTTGGATGGACGCACTTATAGCTTCTTTAAACACCCTAAAGTAAAGTATAAACAAATTAACAACATCAAAAACTAAGTGATTGTAGTCTAGGGGTATATTACGAAAGTTTTTCGAGCTCTTTTGAGCTGAGGAAATCACGCAAATTTCCGATCTTTGTGGTTCGGAATCGGTGTTTCTTTTCAAGTCTCTATTTGTGGGGTTTTCGTTTGTGTTTTCTTCCCCTTTTCTACTTGTGTTGTGTTGTACTTTTTGGTGGTTTCTATACCTTTCGATCTTTCCTGTATTCTTTGTAATTTCTGTCAAAATTTGTAAAAATAGTATAAATACTTAACATTTTACCAAAAAAAAATATTACGATAGTCCGTTCTAGAATTAATTTATGCATACAATTTTGAAAAATATAAGAAAATACGAAGTAGACTAATAGGGCTGGATTATATATAATCTGTCTATTGACTTTAGGAACAAACAAAAGATATAAGTTGATCTATTTTGAATTTTGTTGGTAATCACCGATACGGATCTTGCAGTCCTGAATAAATAATTAATTTATAGTGAAATATTTTGGCAAACATCATGAGTTAATCGATGGGATGGAAATGGCCTTCAAAGGTTTAAATATTCAATTTAATACTTTTCAAATTCGAAAATTTTTGGACGGCCAATTAGTTAATTATTATTAGTGTGCAGCTTTATTATCCGAAGTCTTCTATCTATATGATATTTGTAGGGTTTAGGTAGAGATTTTTATGTCTGTGAGTTTTATAATATGTATGATACTATGATCTGTTTCACCAATGTGGGCAACCAATGTGATCAATATAATGTAACCTACTAACCTATATAATCTATGAACCAAAAAATATAATTTTCGTTAATGTTACCATCGAATTCAAAGTCGTATAATGATTGCTATACACACAAAAAAAAAACACTTTTTGTTGGAAAATAATTATGTATAAAGTAAATTTTAATTTAATTGAATTTTTCTAGCAAGATTACTTAGCTTAGTAAGCCTTCATAACAAAAAAAATAGTAATTTTCTATCAGAAGATGACATGATTTAGTGTTTTTTTTTTTCTTTCTGTGCAAACGATGACATAACATAACTTAGTTACGCTACTAGATTAATCTTGAACTGGTCTGTGGTCGCAACAATCTGAATCGTTTAGTAAAAGGCATGTGATTGTTGTGGCCTTGTAAGATAGATATATATAGTCAAATTTGTTCGGGTTAAAATATGGACATTTTCAGTATTTTTGTCGCACACTGGCGATATATATTAACATACATTAATTATCATTTTGAATACAAAATCTTGAATTTTCACGATTCCTTGGACATAACAATTGTTTAGGATCTGATTATCTGATACGGTAACATATCCAAATTTACGATTTATGTAGTCCAAGTACAAATGTTTTCTAATATGTAACCAGAAGTTGACCAAAACAATCTAAGTTGTTTTTCGTCAATTTTTTGCTGACCCCAAATGAGGATATACCCGAATACTAAGGATTAGAAAACTAATAATTCACTGGTCGTTTACGAGAACGACATATTGAAAGTAATTAAATATCTTAACCATTGTCGACGTTCTGACTTTGTTAACTAAGCCTGCAAATTTCTTATACACACACACAAATATAGATATGATTAGTCCAGAAAATATTCGAACAGCAATTGACAGCAGACTTAGATCGATCTTTCCGAGAAAGAGATGTTACAAATAACATAACTGAGATAACTTATTAAAAAAACAAATCACTAACACATTCTATATATATTGGCTAGGGAAAAACGGTGTATTTTCCCACGAGAAGTATCGCATCATAATAGATAGAGCCCAAACTTTAACCCCGATCTATAAGTCCTTGACAACAATGTTTTATGTCTATTTCTCCCCGAAACGTAAGTTCAATAGCTAAATCTCTCCGAATTAATACTTCTAGATCTATTAAGACACATGTCTGGGTTTCGTCGGTTATTGTTTACTTAACCGTTTATAACCAAAGAAAACCTAATTTTGACCCGATTAAAACACAAACCCAATACCCTTCTTCTTCTTTCCTCTCCTTCTTCTTTTCTTCACCCGATTTCAAAATCTGGGTTTTGTTATTGTCAAAATTTTCTCTTTTTCACCCGATTTCAAAATCTGGGTGGTTTTTTTATTGTCAAAATTGGAATTCACTTTTCTTCTTGTTATTAAACCACTTATGATTAAGATTTTTACTAGCCAAAATCCTAGAACACGATCGTCTCGATTATAAGAAACAAAAGAGGTGAAGAGAGAAATCACATATTAAATAGGAAATTGTATAAATGTCAAACACAAACACTAATCAAAGCTTAGACATATACAAATAACTCTGTTAATCAATAATCTCTGAAAATCCAATCCATTGTATGTATATGTCTTAATCTCTTCATAAACATGGAGATTCCAAGCAAGCCATGTATAAAACTAAGTCCACTAAAGCTTAGGCACTTCAAAAGCAGTCTATTATATTGACACATTACTGTTCAATTGACATTCAAAAACAGAGAAATTATGCTCCATGGAAGCTTCGTCATTCCCGCCGCCTTCGCCGCAAAACCAGTCCTCGTCGAAGAATTAGCTCTTTCACCACCACCACGATCTTTACCTTTACCATAACCGCGATTTCCCACTTCTCCTTGCGATCAAGCCAATGATGATACTTCTTATCATCTTCTTCCTCAACAAAGCTAACTCTTATCACTTTACTCTTCTTCTTCCCATCCATGTTAAGTGTATTCACCTTCACCACATTGAATCCATAAAAAACAGAGTTTGAAGAAGAGATCGATTTGGTTAATCTCAAATTTGCATCCCAAATCGATTTGGTTAATCTCATCAATCTCAGAATCTTCATGGCGAAGAAGAGAGACTAATCAAAGCTTATCAATATCAAAGACCCATTGATTTCATCAACCAAAAGTTAGTCTTTTGTTATTGTTTTTAAACGAAGAGAATCCTAGCGATGTCAAATTGATGGTATCGAAACCCTAAATATTTTGAAGCGAAGAAGAAGAAAAAGTTCGATCGGGTCGTTAATGGGTCGGCCGGGTTTGGGTTAATTTTTGATAATTTCGGTTTAGTTTTGGTTAAAGTTGGTTTTAAAATGGTTAAGGCTGAATTGGTGTACACTAAACCGACGAAACCCAAATACGTGGGTTAATAGATCTCGAAGTATTAATTCGGGGAGATTTAGCTACTGAACTTACGTTTCGGGGAGAAATAGACATAAAACATTGTTTTTAAGGGCATATAGACCGGGATTAAAGTTTGGGCTCTATCTGTTATGATGGGATACTTCTCGTGGGGAAATATAATAGACCGTTTTCCCATTGGCTAGAGGTCAATCTTTGGTTAATTGTACCATATTGTAGATGCTTACCTATACATAGTACATTCAGAATTCTTTTGTTTTTAAACACTAAATGCAAATGTAAACGGAAACAAATCAAACAAAACTTCTAATTTGATAGAAAACGATATCATATATATATATATTTATAGCCAAAGCTAGCTGTTTTTAGGTGTTTATTTAATTTGTATACAATTTATATTTAATTGGAGCGAAATATAACCAGCGTGCATATAGAAGTTTCGAGACATCATGTAGAGGTCATGTGAATTCTAGGTCCAAAATTATGCACACTACACAAATTATTTTCTAACATCAAACGAAAAACAAATATACTAACCTACCATTACTTAGTTTCGGTTACGTGATACTTTTTTAATCAACTTTTATGAGTACTAACAAATAAACTCGAAATGGAGACAACGTTTGTACGAATGTAAATAGTTAACTCCTACATGAAAGTAAATAATAGATGACTGATACATATTGATTCCCAAAAGAAATTATTAAATCCAAATCATAGATGAAAAAGCTTACTAATTAAGATATATGGTTGTTGGGTTCGCTCATCATCTCGCATAAAGAATCTTCAGTCTATTTTACAAGTGCTTGTTGTTTATGGCTTATGGAGAGAAAGAAATTCTCGACTTCACTCTTTTTCCCATAAACTTGTAATTAGGGCAAAGCTTGCCGGTTTGGATCAGAACCAAATCATCAAGTCTTCTGTTTCACTGATTCCGATTACTTTAGAGAGTTTATTGGCTACTTGGTTTAGATATGTCCAGCGATAGTACATCATCAATATCAATATGAGTGGTCTTTAATGTTGCTTCACATGAGTTTCAAATCCAATTGTATCTTTATTGCTTTTGTGTAGTTCATCTTTTTGTTGTTGATTGTAATTCAGAATGATATCCCTATTGGCTATATATTGGGGAAGCATGAAAAGTGAATAAATTTCTAATTTTATTTTTATGGTTGTTGGTTCGTCCCGGTAAGCTGATGGGCGTAGTCAGACCATATATATTCTGATTCTGGACAAATAGTTCATGAATCATCTAATAAATTAGTCATTATTGATTTCTTAAAGATTTATTGATCAATTCATACATTTATTTCTAATTCTAGCCAAATAATAGAGCTAGATTTTTTTTTGTTCATAAAAAGAAAAACAGCTTTAATTAATAGTACAGTTGTTCATTATTAATTTTGCGACTTAGACGATGGATCATGCATGAAAAGGTACCAAGAGAAAGTACATAATTCAAACACTATTACATGTTGATAGATTCTAGAAATATACACAAATCATAAATGTGCCTGACAAAAAAAAATATAGATACATAAATATAAA